ATTGTGACGTCATAAAATTAAATTATAAATTAGATGTTAAGCCTTTTCCTGTTTCAAAATAATTTTTTTTTTTTTTTGCTTATAATTAAGTATATTACATATAATGAGTTATTTACAAAATAAACTCATATTGCTAAACCAAAATAACTTTTTTTTTTTTTTTCCACTACACCATTAAATAAATTTGACACAAGAAGGAAAAATTTTATCCATCTCATTTTACAAAAATTATTACCTCAAGTTTGTATTTAGGTCTGATAAAAAAATATGCTGAATTAGCAAGTCCTTAAAAAACAAACTCAGGAACGTTTATGGCTGAACCTTTTTTTGTCAACTTTTATTTTTACCAAACGATTTAATAATTATTATTTTGTTATGTAAATTAACAATAATAAATTTTCTAAAGGATTCATTTATAAACAATTTATTTTGTCATGAAAACAAAAACAACAAAATATTTTTTACAATCTGTTTACTAAAGTGTGACAAAAAAAAACTTAATTTAAATATTTTATATAAATTTCTCTGTTATAACAAAAAAATATCTTATTTGTTTAGTTTTTAAAATGTTTTAAATAAAATAATAATAAAAAAAAAAAAAAAAAAATTCAAAAGGTTTCAATATGACTCACATTTAAAATTTTTTTTTTTTCGGTCTTATACCTGTCATTTATTACTACCCGTTTAATATTTATTGTTATTATTTAAATTTTAAGCAAATTTAAAAGATAATAATAATAATTATTTGAGAACTTGAAACTTCATGTAAAATGTTTGAAAATATTCAAAGATGTAATATTGTAGGCTATAATAGTAATAAATTAGTAATTTAGGAGATTGAAGGGTTAAAAAAATTACCCTGAGGTACAAAAATATAATTATTACTATCAAAAACATAAAATCATAAATATTAATATTAAAAACAAGAAAAAACTAATTTGTAAATGGGGGCAAAAAAATATGTGTGTTGTTAAATTCTTATTGAAATTCATAAACCATTTTGCAGTTTTTTTTTTTTTTTTTTACTATTTATCTTTTTAATTACCTTGTTAATTTAAAAATAAATTATAATATCTCTTTAAAAATTAATATTTAAAAAAAAAAAGAATTTTTTTATAATACAAAGCCGGTTGTCAAATGTTTGATTAAAATATTAAATGCTCAACAATAGTCAAGCCTTGGTGGTGGTGGCATTATTACAAAACGTGACAAGCATCCAAATGTCAAAAAATTAATTTATAAATAGACAAAAAAAAAACTAGAAAATATTTTCACCATTCAAAAAAAAAAAAAAGTACAAAAACGTGACATTTTCTTTCAAAAAAAAAATTATGTTAAAAACAGCCTAAAAAAAATTTCAACCCATTGATTTTTCTCGCTAAATTTTAAAAATTTTATCAATGATTTACCCCAAAAAAAATTTTTTTTTTATCCGCCATGACAGTTTAATTATTTTATGTCTCACCATAAGACATAACTATATAATTAATAAAGTTAAAATTTATGGTAAACATCGTAATTTTTAATTAAAATAATAATAATAATAAACTTTTATTCAAAATATTTGATTTCTTTTTAATAATTAAATTAAATTTTGTCTCTCATCACAAACGAAAGTTTTATTTAAGTTTAATTATTTTACATGGTTAACAAATCAAGTCCGCCATTTTTTTTTTTTTTCAATTTTTATCGTTAGTTTTTTTTCAACGAGATTTAACGAGATT